AATTCTTCAAGATCTTGTTTTTGTCATTGACAGGGAAATAGATTTGAACAAAGAAGTTTCATAAAGAGCGCGAATGGTAGTGTGATGTAAAATTACTCGTGCTAGAAATTTTTATAAAAGTGACCCGAAAAACGGCGCTAACTCGGTAACCCATGGCCTGATGAAGTTTCATAAAAAGCGTGAACAGTAGTGTAATGTAAAATTACTCATGCTAGAAATTTTCATAAAAGTGACCCAAAAAACGGCGCTAACTCGGTAACCAGTGAGCCAATTTTAACAAAACTTGTTTTATTCTGTTTCTATTCTCATTCCATTACAAATATGGTGCTATTGTCTGCTGTTTTTGCTGTATTTAATTACAGACAAACAAGCAAACAATCTCAGAGGTTTAGTAGTATATAGATATATAATAACAAATTTGTTACAAGGTGTATAAATAGCAGCAAGCAGATAAAAAAATACAGCAGAAGAGAGTAAAGTCACGGGAAGGAAAAGTTCAGTCAGAAAAAAGTTGACTACAAAGTTGATCATCGTGGGAGTGCAAGGCCTAATGGTTGATATGTTAGAGTGAGATTAACAATTTCATAAGAGATAAGGAGAATAAGTTTTCTTGTCAAAGAGTGTTCTATGGTAATTGAACCAGCTGGAGTGAACTCTGATAAAAGGTGGATGATTCTTGGAAATACAAAAAAAAAAAAAAGACAATTTCTGAAGTACAAGATACATCTAGGGTAACTATATGACAACGTAAGTGAACTATACACAAATAAGATATAACTACAAACTCCACAGTGTAAGTAACTTTTGTACATACGTTTAACTTGTTCCAAATATATACAATATTTTGAAAACAAGTGGAGTGTGTGCTGTTCATTTATTTTTAATTTATCGCCAACAAGTCAAAGACACCTACTGTTAAAGAGTCCTTAGCCCAACACCCCCATAAACTTACATTACTAAATATTTCTACTAAAAAAGTAAGTTTGCTGACAAAATTTATTTCTGATAGATACGCAACCCCATCACTATGAAATTTACATGCCATTAGTCTAGAGCTACTTCTCATCTAAATTCTTGTGTTTAACATGAATTGCACTAGTGCATGATGACATATTCATGCAACAACAACCCTCCACCAATAGGAAGACAACACAACCTCCATAAACATTAATTTCCTCTATGCACTTGCACTTGTGATAACTTCATTCTCTAATGAGGCAAGAAAGAAAAGGTGCATGGAAGTAGAATGTCAAGTGGGAATGTGTGCGGAAATGTGTCCATAAGAAATATATATTGAAATTAGGTAGACGTTAACTTCCGAGATGATAACTCACCTTCTCACACAGAAATATTAGAATCTCACACTGAAATGGTGGAAGGGCTGGTGTAAAAGTTTACTTAAGTGATCCCCCTTCAGAAAGTGCCCAAAGGGAAGCCCATGGAGTGTGACACTTGATAGCAGGGGGATCCATAGACACATACCAGGGGAATGTCATATCTTGTCTTGACCAGGGTATATTTTTTGCCTGGAAATGAAAAGTGGGGTAGAGGCAAAAGAGCCCAAAGTGTTATAAGGATGGGCAAAATTCAAACATGGCCAAGCAAGCACCTGCAAACAAGCAGTTGCCAAGCCAATATGTTTAATGTGGTTAGGGCGAGATCAAACTTTACGATTTATACTACCTTGACTATACTGGACAGACTTTGGCTGCTGGAGGAGGGCACATAAATTGTTTGAGAGGTGATATGGACTACACTAACAGTGTTACCAAAGCCCTACTTTCACTGTATTGTGCCTAGCCCTACTGGTGAGGATTCTCTATGGATTCTTTAGCAGTTGGGAATTAGTAAGTGGCAGGGTCTCTTTTGCTGCACTTGAAGAAAAGGGGGGAGAAGTTAATTTGGGAAGATCCAGAGAAGTGCCCAGATCCCCATTGGACCATCACACAGAAAGGTTTTTTGCTGAAGACAATGCAAAAAAAATAATCTATTTTTAAAAACCAGAAACTATTTATTAGTTAAGTAACTTGGTTGTGCTTTAATACTTTTATACTAGTATAATTTGTCTACTGCACTACTAATTCAATTATTTATCTCGGCTTTTATTACTATAATGGGGGCTGGAATGCTAACAACAGAACGTAAGGCTGCCTTATTTACCTCTAATGATAGGACATTATTTTTGTTTTCTTTCATCTTACATTTCTTAGGAGAGAAGTCACTTTCCCACAACTGTCTGCAGGCTGTGAAGGGGTATATAGATGGGGGACATTTGGGGCTTGAGCACTCACATCTTGCTCTCTTAACTTTTTCTTATTTTTCTAACTTATTTTATATTTATTCTTCTTTTTTAACACGTGAGACAAGGGGATGGAGATTAAAACTGGTGGACAGGGTATCCTCATCACAATGTGGGTCCTACTTTTGCAGTCACTTCCAGAACCCAGGGCACATCTTATGTACCACATTATAGACTGTGCTCTGGTGATCTTTTAAATTTATGCATCATTTTTGTTGTGGTTAAGGCTTTTCATAATATGAATATACAATAACAAAATTATTATTTCAAGTTAAAAGATATATGTGATAATATTGTATAAAATATCAATGTCACTTTAATTTTCTAATCCTTGAAATAACAATACTAAAATTTCATGATTTTTAAGAGCTTATGAAGTCCCATTCATACTGAAAGTATGTTTGTAAAACTTGCTATTTCTGAATACTATACCATCTGGCTTAGTGATTAAAAGTACTTCATAACATTACATTCACTCAATACTTTATATGTAACCCAGAGACCATACTAGATTAAAAATAAATATAGTGAACTATTAAATACATAATATAAAAAAAAAACTATTCATCAGAAACGAAAAGAAGAAGATTTAATAATATAAACTAGTAGTAGTATTAAAAATCATTTTGGAAATTGGTCCTGCTTATAGAGAATACAATTTTTAAGGCTTTTATACAGATTATACAAATTATATCCCCCCCCCCCAAAAAAATAGCTCAGTACATTCCAGCATTAATTAAATCTTACAAATTCTCATGATTACTTTAAATTTCAAGCAATTTCCAGCTGTAATAGCCAAAGGCACTTCCCAGGTATAGTTATAAGGACATGTGTTTGAATGGTCAATGTTGGTTTATCAAACTATCTGAAATAAATGTTGTCATTAAATATCTATATAAAGTACATCTCTTATTCTTGATAATAATAAAATTTGATAATTTTTATACCATTTTCCTACATGTTTCAAGAGTTGTATAGCTAATTGGTTAATGAAAAAAAAAAGTTATTTCAACAATATCTAAGCTGATATATTAAAATAGCATTATCTTAATTCCAAAAAAGGATTGATATTAATGACTGGTTTCAATGTTGACACAAAAATTATGATGTACATTACATTGTAACTACTTTTACAATTACTTTTACATATTTATCAGTAATCCATCTCTCAAAATATTGACTGCAAAAGAAATAGTTTTATATAAGAAAAGCAAGTTCATTAGTATATTTCTCATTTGACACTACAAAAGCATATTAAACTTTCAAACTATTGATACAGAAATGTGTTTTGTTTGGGATGATTCTAAAATGAAAGCCTGTATAATTTACAATACATGCATAAATGAATAAAATGTTTTACCATGATAAATTATTTAGATTATTATCAGTTAAAAATTAATTTCGTTATTTTAACACTAAAATGATGAAAACTAACTACAATCAATGGTAAGTTTGCTGAGATGCAAATCTAAGAACTTAAAAAAAAAAAGGAAACTTATTTATTCTGCTTTCACTGATTTTGTAAGTGTACAAGCATTGATGAAATACACATTCATCCAACTATAAACACTCAATGTGCATAAACAAAACTGTATTTATTTTGCTTTCTTATTGTATCTCCATAAAATAACTTAATATACTAACACAAATTAAACTGAAAATAAAGTACTATCAACACTTAAAGTAAAGATAATATTTCAAACTTTGTGCTTTGAAAATATAAACTTCATATAAAAATACATAAAGTTGAAATTATATTTTTATTTTAATACAATTCCTTGAGTCATTCCTTAATAATCATCATTATAAATAATATACAATAATATGTTTACTACCTTCACTTCATACACAGTTTCAATTTCCTCTCGGTTCATCTTGATTTGTTTTTCATATTGTTCCCGTAGTTCCTGTAAAGCCTCAGCTAGCTTTTGTTCATACTGATTTTTTTTCCGAGCATCAATCTCTTCAATTTCCATCTGTCTCATTGATTTTGTCTCTAGGAGTTCCTAAAGAAAAGAAAAATGTTTGTACAAGTACAATAACTAAAGGATTTGAGGAAAGAAGCCTATAGTTTTTATCGTTGTTTTAATGACGTCTGGTCGCAAAAAACTGACCCAAATATAGGAAAAAAAAGTCAGAGCTGAAAAGCGGATTGGAGGCGCCAGACTACGTAACTGCAATTCATTAATACAATCTAAAAAAGCTTCTTCTTCTGATTGAAAAAAATATACTCATAAGTGAAATCTGTAAAATGCCTTATCAAGAACATAAACCTTACTAAAAAAGGAGACTGCTTCACCTGTGGCATTTGTAGATGCTGCTTACTATTGGATACATGCTCGAATAAAGCAAATCATATTAATTGGATGCCGAGAAATGATGTTGAAAGTAAAGAAAGAAGAATAATGAGAAGCCTAAGTGCCCTGAGAGATCAAAATCAAATTAGATTTGAAGAAGGCAAGGTGTATGATATTGATCCTGGAGAAGATGGAGGGGCTGAAGCCTCTAAAACCATTACTGCTGTATTCAATGCCTTAGGTATTACCAATCGCACAGCTTTGGAATGTTTACCTATAGGTGGATATAAAGTTAATGCATTGCAAAGTGTCAGACAAAGACAGAGGGCTGTTCGAATATGCACACAAATAACTGATAAGTTATTTCAACTTTTGTATCTGACCGATCCATTTGAATTGAAGGCATATTTTATTGACAAACTACAGTCTAATGAGAAATATATGATGGAAACCATTTCTAAAAGCATGTGCAATCTATCACTTATTGGGCACAGAAACATTTCTGTGGTTGCTCAAAACATTTTGACAAATTCACTTGAATGACGTACATGCAAAAGGATGCTCGCCGATGAATTCAATAGTCTAACAGGCCAACAAAAACAGCTTATACCCATTCAAAAGCACTCAATGGGAAAAGTGAAGTTTTCATCCTTGAGAAAGATGTTTGCTACTCTGGGATGTGGAACAGGTCTGCCAAAACATAATTATATATTCCATGTGTAGAGCCAAAGGATTACAACAGCAATTACATTCAGTCAACGAAGCCTTCAAGTAAGGCCTGGTCAAATGGGTGTGTGATAATGAAGGGGTTCCTGGATTTCAGTACAAATTAATTGATTATGTGGTGAAAAGATACACAGGACAAGGTAATGTACAAGTTGCGGCTGTACTGAAAGAGATGCTACAAGATGTTCGAACAAATTGTCTTCATATTCGTAAACTGATTCTTCAAAGTGACAATGCTAGGTGCTTTGCTTCACAGGATCTGATCCCATATATATATATATATCATCTCAATGTTGGAATGCAGTCTTCCACTGATGGACACATTCTCCATGTCAAGAAATGGATTTAGGATTTATACGGAGGCTCAAATTGGTAGAGGGAGACTGGATACCCACTTTTCATATTTGAATTTGGCATTCAACCCATTTGTGGAAGACAGAAACAATATACTATGGAAATGGTCATATACAAAGCCTTAACATTTAGAGATGAGATTGCAGGCACTACCGGAAAAGTACTTGATGTCAATCTGTTGAATGATCCAACATTAGTGAAAAGTTCAAAGCAAAAACAGGAAGCCAAAGCACACATGAGGTTTAATGGGAGGTTAATGCTGCTAAAATCATTTGCCCATCCAGTATATTCAAGGCAGAAGTTGTTGTAGCATCCAAGCTTAATGCTTGTGGAGTAAATGAACTGAATATTCAAATGAGGTTGTCATTTACATCCCCCAAAGCACCATTATTTTACACCTGATCGACGTGTAAATTCTGAGTTGAATGAACAAGATCAATTCGAGAATACTGCTAAATCACTAGCTATTAGCAAGCACTATCTCTGGTTCACTGTAATCGTCCTGAAGCAGATATAAACAGTGTAAGAGGTGAAACTACTACACTTTGTCCAAAGTACTGTCAGAAGGGTGGGCATGCTATCCAGGGAATATGAAAGATGAAATACCTAGGGAATGCGTGGAAAAGTTAATTGAGTTATACAAAATTGGAAAACGAAACAAAAGTTGGAAAGTGTCCACCGATAAAGCTCATCAGATTCTCATGAATTCAGTCCTTCTAGGAAATTGGCGAGATAGACTGTGTGTGTCACTATTTCCAAGATAAAGGCAGTCTTTTCTTTAACTCCAGCTAAAATGAGGGTATTGATTGATAGTGATAGTACAATTCCCGAAGACGTAGTAGATGAAGCTGAACATTCATATTTGCAGGAAGAAATTGCTGTATCTTCTGCCTCACTTATTAATTTAGATATGCAAACAGATTAATTTAGTCCTCGTGAACAGAAAACTTTACATACAGCTGTATCTTTTCAAATACTTCATGGATTTCAAATCTGAAAAAAAAAGATTCTAAATAGTAGAGTCAAGTAGTTTATTTTTACCAATCGTGAACAGAAAAATTTACATACAGCTATATCTTTTTAAATACTTCATGGATTTCAAATCTGAAAAAAGATTCTAAATAGTAGAGTCAAGTAGTCTACCAATCAGCTACTTCTGGAACATAATATTTAAAAATTTGGCACAATGACTATAGGAGTTGGTTTTTCATGACCAGGGTCTTATATAAGTCATTTTCAAGGCAAAGTGTGATATGTAACCTAATGTTATGTTAGTATGCTCAAAACTTTAAGTTATTTATCAAATTTTACCAACTTTTTCATGCATAGATTCTCTGAAGGACATTTCCTCTGACATGCTTTGACATCTGTTTTCCAGTTCTACTCTCTTCAGTGTTTCTTCTTCAAGTTGGGTCGTAAGGGATACAATTTGTTTTGCCAGGTAATCTCTCTCAGCTTGAACATCCTGTGAAACAAGTCAAGACACAAAATAATTAAAACTGCAGAAATACATCAATGCCTCAGTAAATAATTTGCCATACTTTATTATGAGCTGTAATATATTCATACTTGCTCAGCATAATAGCAGATCATACTTCACATGTTACAAGCATTTAACAATAGTTTTGCAATTGTTGCATGAGAAGTAACAGACAAAGTATGCAAAAACCAACACATTCTGTTATTCATGCATACAGATCACCTTTACTTACACATATTTTTTCTTCATATGGGCATACAGAGTAACTTGTTTTGAAGTTCATTATATTTCTAAACTTTATGTTTTACTAACATTAAGAATTTTTTTAGCTAAAATGTAAAAAGTTTCACATTTTCTTTTTTCAAACATCAACCTAGTGAGGGTATATTTGTGTCCCAAATAAGCTAGGTTGAATAGCTTCCCCAATTAAGTCATTTCATGACCACACAACCTTTAGAGAATTCTTAACCTGATAACAGGCTTTCCAGGTACAAAAAAGGGGACTTAAGGATGTTTCTAAAAATGCATTATCAAATATTTAGTTCAAAATGGACATTAATGCTTATATAATGGCACTAATTTGGAAATAAAGTGATTGTTGTTAGTAAACAAGATATTATTAAAACTTACTACATCTATATTATAAATTTTCCTTACCTGATAACAACACCAAATTAGTTACCACCTATCTGGAGATGTAGATGGTGATGATGTCTTAACCTTACATCTGATGGCTTTCTGAAATTTTATTATAAAAAAACATCAATCTTACCTAAACAACTTCCTATTCAACCCACACCCATAACATTTTCAGTTATTTACACATCAGGTTAAATTCAACACCATCATCAGATCAACATCCCAAGATGAGTGGAAACAAACATTCTTTTCTTATTTATTTTGAGGCTTTTTTATGCCCATTTGTAAAATTTTAGTGCTTTTTAGGGTGAATTTAATTTTAATGGTATCAAATACAATGCAATAAAGCTCTTGTCCTGCCTTTTCTTTTTTCCAACAGAAATTTAGAGAATTTCACAAACATACCTTAAACATTCAGTCCAATAATTTAATTATATACTTACAGAAAATATACATGTACTTTCTGAGATACATCAAAAGAATGCAGTCAGTTTTAATCAATCTTATATTTGCTTAAAATGTACTTGGTCAGTAAGAACATTAAATACATCTTTTTTTTTCAAAACATTTGCTACAAAGTTGAAACCAAGCTATTAAAAACATTTAAAATCAACAAACAGAAGATACACTGCAGACAAATGTTAAATTTATTTAAGCTGGCCACTCTCCTGAGCTTAAAACAATTTTTCTCATACTTCAAATGTGGTGGACCTTAAGTAACCAAGCTAGAAATTAACTTTGTGAAAACTCTCATATTTATGTTTACCAAGTTACATCAAGAAAAATAAATCTATTATTTCTAGAACTCTGATGGCTATGGTGATGATCAAATCTATGTTATGAGCTTGAGTTAACTTGAATTATTCTTTTATGCTTACTTGTATGATAAAATTATAGTTTTAAGATAATTTAAAGTTTAATTTTAGGTTTATTGAAGAATCATGTAGATAACTAACTCAGTACAAATTTTACTTTTGCACAACAGTTAAACTATCCATAATAAATCATACATTACTTGACATGATGTTGTCCATATAAATATTTACATTTTAAAAGACCTAGTCTGTAATGCACAAGTTAAAAGACATTTACTTAGCATTACCAATATCCCCAAAAAATTTAATTTGCTGAAGTTGAGTAAAACACCACAAGCACAATATGCAACTTAAAAACAAAGATACATGAATTTATTTACAGTGTATGCTATATTGAAAAAATAGTCAACATGTATGCAAAAAACACATCATTCTGTATCAAAGATTATAAAATGCACAAGTAAATTTCATCACACTAATTGAAAAAAAATAAGTGTCCGGAAAGTGGTTGAGAAATTTAAATTTAAAAGGACTAGTATTCAACATCAGTGGAATGCTATATTAAATTAAATCTTGATATCAAAATGTTGATTAGGTTTTAGCAAAATAAGGTTACAGAAACATGTATTGTGATACAAGTACAAAATCTGTTGTAGCCTTGTATTTTATTGACAGTCCAATATATTTAATTTTCAAATCTTAAGTGTTTATAGTGTGTATCATCTATTAACTCTCTATGCTAGACTTTCTACCTGCATTAAAACATTAGCTTACTTAACACACAACCTAATATTTTCTAGCATATTACACATTTCAAAAACTTACTCAAGAAAAAAATATATATTATCATTAAAATTAATATAAAATATTTCATATCTTGAAATTAGATTTTGAATTACATATTACTATTCCTGATTACACCAATTAAAGTAATTAAAACATTGTCATTATGTTTGCTTGTCGTTAAGTGCAAAATACACAACAGGCTCTCTGTGCTCTGCTGCTGCAGGTATTGAAACTCAATTTTAAGCATCATAAGTGCTTGTGTGTTTAACCATATCATAAGAATAATCATTTTTTGTTTTTTTTATTTTAGCCATCTCATGTGAGAATCGTCAATTAGTTGAAAGTAACTGATTAATAAATCTAACAATTAATGAATTAGAAAATTCACTGTTTGCCCAGTTCTACTCAATTTAGCCATTTTAGAAAAAACATTCTTATTTATACTAGTATTTCTCAGCTTTAACTGTCCAGTTGTGAATAAAAGGTACATTAAATAGTAGTAAAAATGTCTACTGATAACCATAATTCTAGAAAAACAAAAACTTCTTAATGTTTAAAAGTTTAAATGTTACTTGGGATTGTAGAATGTTTGTTTGTTGTGGATTTTGTGCAAAGCTACATGAAGGCTATTTGTGCTAGTTGTCTCTAATTTAGCAGTGTAAGACTAAAGGGAAGGCAGCTAGTCATCACCACCCACTGCCAGCTCTTGGGCTACTCTTTTACCAATGAATAGTTGGATTGACTGTAACATTATATTCCCCCCTCCCCCAAGCTGAAAGGGCAAGCATGTTTGGTGTGATGGGGATTTGAACCCGTGACCTGCAAATTGCAAGTCGAGTGCCCTAACCACCTGGCCATATCAGGCAGGATTGTAGAAAGACTGATATTTAAATTACCATCTGTTAACATGTATTGGTATGTTCCACTTTTTACATATACACATTTATTTTTAGTTCAATTGTGCTGTATCTTATATCAACATATAATAAAGTTTGGAGACAGTATGAAAGGCTAATGAAGAACACTAAGTTACAGATGTACAACATTTTCACAAACATCACAAAATTTCATTTATAAAACAAATAATGTGGCAAAGCATTTGTGAAACATAACTGTTTTTAATCAAGTTTCTGTTTAAAGAATTTAATAATATGTGATAACTAATATAACATAAAAGCTACAGTTTCATTTTCTACAAATCATAAAAGCATATCTCAATGTAACCCATTCTATTTGTATTCTCTATGTAGTTTATGGCTAACAAGAAAAATATAATGTGGAAACCATGCTATAATACATTTCACTATAGCTCTGTATACTGTATAGCATTATCAAAATATTAATCTACATAACATCCAGCAAACCTCAAATTAAGATTTAACATTTGTTGATTTAAGAATACCCAAAGGAAAAGAAATACAATAGATGCATTCATAAGATTTGATGATGAGTTGCAGTATTTTCTGGAAATGATGAAATATACTCAAATTTACTTTATGTAGTTTGCTTTCTATTTCTTTGAACTGCAGTTGTTATATCTGATAATATGATATGCCTCTCATATTTCTATTACTCTAAGAATTCTTGGAATAACAATATATTCCTCCATTTTAGATTTTCAGAAGTCATAATCTCTTTTAATTCTTTAAATATTTATTCCTCTGGGCATCCAAATAACAAAACTGCAAAACATTCTACTGGAAATACGAAATTGCCTTTGAACTAGAAAAAAAATAATCATGGCTATGCTTCAAGCAGAAGGTTAAAATATACTGTTGTACCTGTTTTTTCATGGTTTCATTTCTTAGGCTTTCCTTGGAGATTTCACTTTAACAAGGTGTTTGTTACCTATTAAACCACTGAGAGAAGGGACTTTTTTACCTACCAACAGCTTGCAAGACTGTACCTTAACATGTTTTACACCTCCATAATTTTTAATTGCAAATGCTAGTGATTTCTAACATACTCTACTGCTGTTGTAGAGAAATCAGATGACTATACAATTTTTTTCTCTGTTACTTTACACAGTGTTGCTTCCCTCACCATACATATACAGTTTAATGTGGTCATTTCCCCCTCTTTTCTTTCCAAATTAAGGTATATCACTGCTACCTGGTCAGCTCTTTTAACTTTTTTTTAATCTGATGATGAAAGATGTAGCTTTTAGATATTTTGCTATTTTTTCATTGTAATTATTTTATAGAAAGTTGTGTTTGACAAGATATACAGAATTTTATCCATAATGCTGATAATCATGCAGTTTTGATACACGATTTTTCTTGGTACACATTCTTTTTTATTTTCCCTTATTTGAAGACTTTTTTTTGCATGAAACCATTGGTTTTTATTCTTGCTGCATATTTCTTAATTACTTGAAGAATTTTTCTGATTGCCCAATAATGCTAGTGAGTTACAAAATAGGAGGACAATCCAGAACCTTTACAATAATTGTAAGAACCCTTCTGACAATGAATAATCTTTGTTCTCCATCAATGAATTTTGCCATTTTGCTACTAATTTGATGAACAAGAGAAAGAAAGAAATGCTTTGAAACAATGTCTGATGTGTGTGTGTTTGTTTAGCTTTGGCTAACATTAGATGATGGATTTGAATCCAAGCCACAAAGCAGAAAGTGCTTGGTTTAGCTTTGATCAAAAACAAAACAACCTTTGTTATTTTCATTACTACTTTCACAGATTTAGAGAGCAAAAGTTTTCATTTTTTTATTTCACAGCATTTCACCAC